AACTTAAGATTTATCAATCTACATAAAAATAATCTGAAAGATAGTTAACAACTTTCATATTTATTCACCTTTTAAACCTTCCCTGGACTTCCACAAATAATTCAAGACCAAAATTAGCCAAATCGGTCCAGCCGTTATCGAGTTTTAGAGTGACTATCGAACAGCAATTCATTTTTATATATATAGAAGATTATATTATAGTTCTTTAGTTTCTCTAACCGAAGAAACAATCAAAAACTGTTTTTTACCTAATTTCTAAGAATCAGTATTTTCCAAGAATAAAAATAAGCCGAATTTTTCAGTATTTATAGGACGACTCCCACATAATCCAAGCAATATGGGCGGGTCAGTGGGAAAAATTATTCGGATTAATTGTTCTTATGCAGTTTTGTTCTCCTGAATACAACGATACAGGTTGCCAGTAGGTAACCCGGTCGGGTATTGTTTTAATCACGATTGTTGACAAATGCCAAAAAACAACTTTTTTTGACTGGAACAATTTTTTTTATATTCTTTGGTTTAATCTCGATAAAAAAGGTCTAAGTTTCTTTTGTAAAGTTAATATTTTCGGAGTTATGAACTTCTGAAAGTCTGAATACATGAAAATCGCTATTTTCTATTCTATGCTTCAAAAAGTTATTAAAAAATATTTTTTTAAGAAGCTAATATTTTATATATGTTTTCCCACTCACCCGCCCATATTTTATGAACTATCAAGGGCATGTGGGTGTCAAATGAAAGCTTGGGTCAAGAGGAATACAGTGATGATCCTCGTATTTCGTGATATATAAAAAACAAGATAACCCTCACCAGAAGGTGTGACATATCAGATCAATACTTCCGTTCATATCGATAAATCAAACGAAGGACTTTGTGTTGTGTTGTCTTTACCTATAGAAACCTTCTGATCCTGTGCAATCAAATAAAAGCATTCTTCGGTTAATACGGGTATTGCGTATGTTCTTTACCTATTAAAAAGCTTATTTTCCTCTTGATACGGACGACTCTTGCAGGTGCATCCTACACTACTGTTTTCCTTTTGACCTACGCTTTCATTTGATACCATACACCGTGTATATTATTTATTTATATTAAAGTGATAAATAAAAATGGAATCGGTAGCCGAAAAAATTGTAGGGTTTTTTGCTAAAATTTTTTTCGTTCCTTTTTTTCGATTAAGAGTATTTGAAATGCTTCATATCATAATAAATTGTCCCATAGACATTTTAAATAATATTATCCTACAGACAACAGGTTTTTATATTGTTTGATGAGCACTATTAGGTATTGCGTCCGTCATGACCAAAACTTTTATTTGATATCCTACACCCTCTTGCAGTGATTAGGGTAAATTTAATTTTTATTGTAGCAAATAATACTGACGTTTCGTCTTTGTTGACATAAGCTTTTCTCAGAGTAGATTACCAATTGTTAATTCTTCCTTATCCTAACAAATATTATAAATACGAATGTGAGTTTGTTTTTTGTTTGCTTTGTTACCATTTCACGCTTTAAAAACTCAATCGATCATCATAAAATTTTGTACACACATTGTTAGGGGTACAGAAACGGACATAGGGTACTATTTATCTGTAAAAAATTGTTGTTCCCGAGGGATAGAAAAAATTAGTTTTATGTGGTCGTCGATGATATTCGACACATATTTAGGACATCCTTGCTAGCAAAACCTGGGGTATTCTTATAAATCTTAGAATAGTCCAAACAATAAAAGCATACATTAATTTTACCAAGAATTAATTAAATAAAATGGTGACACATGATGAAAATGATTATTAACAATGTAGCATAGCTCTGAACGGGTTTGAAACGTGGATGGTGAGTGCTGCGGGATAGAAGTTTAGAAATGAGAAGGTATTAGAAAAGGTAGGAGAAGGGAAGACATTTTATGGTCAATAAGAGGGATAGGTTGGTAGGACTTCTTTGATTTAAAGGGCTAATTAGAGACATATTTGTAACAAAAACAGGAGTTAAGAGTTAAGTAGATTGGTAAAAAGTGGAAAATGACGACGAAGACAGATAAGTAGGCAATAACTAGATATATTTTGATGGTTTTCTTTTTTTTGTTTTTCAGATCATTTGTCGTTTACAATGAAAAAAGTAACGGGTTTGTGACTGCAAGAACTTACCCAAAAATGGTACTAATCACGTTGGTTGAGCATTTACCTCTACAGAATCACGTCGCTATAGATGCCCCTGGTATGCGTACATTATATGTCAAAGTTCCAAGTTTAGACGATGACGTCAGAACGGAAGAAATTACGTAAGAATCTTTTAAACTAGTTTTTTTGTATACATATAAGTATATCTTGAAAATATATTTTAGGATGTGGTCAAATGAAAAAGAAACAGCATTGGATTGCGGTGACGAGGCAGCTGTCTGGTTCTCTAGGTATATTTTGGAACAAGATTCCGGTTTAAGGTTGGGTTTTTATCCTTCTGAGAAGAGACGAGATATCTCAAAATCTCATGTGAAACACTTGAAAAGCTATAAGAATCTCAGTAACGAAGCCACGGTAGGTAAATCAATTGAAATGCTGTTAACAATATGATATTATACTAGCTTTTCCTGGCGGTTTCGCTCGTAACAATTAATATTGCTTCTCCATAAAACCTTTTAACTCCTAATTCACCCCCACAAAGTTTTCATTTAATGTAATTATGCCATCTTAGATATCAAATATAAAGGTAGCTACATTTTATCCTTAAGGGTTGATTTTTAAAAATTGCCAAAACACGCATTTGCTTAATTTCAACAGTAAGTATTAAGTGCAACCTTCGTGTAAATCAGACTACAAATAAGATATACCTCATGGAAACGTTGCAACCTCTTTTCATTTGATTAATTATATCAAAGAGCGTAAAGTTTCAAGTAAATTCAACCACAAATAAAATATGTTTGAAACAAAAATTTCAACCCCTTTTCTCTCAAACCGTATACTTTTAACCTCTCCTGCTTTGAAGGTTGAATTTTTTAAAATGCCGAGATAGGTGTTTCACAAATTAAGGATGTTTGGGAGGTATTTGGAAGAACGTTCCTCATTCAATTCTATAACTCCTGTACAAATTACAAATCGATTCACTAAACCGTTAAAAAGTTATTTAAATTTTAAAAAATTGTAATTTTACACATCATTTTATGGAGATTCGTTAACCGAATAGATTAAATTTAATGATG